GAAGAAGATAACACCACAGAAGAAATGAGGAGAGGAGAAATGCCAATTGAACTGAATGCAAATTTCAAATTCCAATTGAACTTGACATACAAATTCCAAAATCCAACTATGCAAAATTCCAAATTTCAGATACACTGGACCAAATAACAAATCAAATCCCAGATAACTGGACCAACACCAAACCAAATGTCCAATCCCATGAACTAGAGATATACCAAACCAAATGCAGAGAAGAAGACGAAGCAGAAGAGAGGGGGGAGACCAAATCATCAAATCCAGATGATCATCAAACGAATTCGAAAAAGAATATCATAAAGGAGAAAAACCAATTCTTGATAAACCAACCAAGGAGAAAGAATCAAAAGAAATGAGCAGACGACATAAAAGAAGACAAGTAACAACAAAAGAGAGAAGAAAACGTTTGCCACTAAAATTTCCAAATCTTTTGTTGTCTCGCAAACCACCTCAAATCACTAGTAATCCACTACCAAATCTATAGCCCAATTATTTGTCCGATTGATAAACACAATTAATTGCTCAACAATGAAGCCCACACTAAGTGTCCAATTAAATCAACAGCCAACCCAAGAGCCCAATTGCTCACAAATAACCATAACCCAAACAATACCAAATCCCACATGAGTGACCCAAATAAAACGAAGCCCAACAGAACAAAAAACCCAAACAAAGACCAGTCCAACATTACCAAAATAAAGTGTTGGCAATCTACAGCTTATATTAATCACTCCACAAAGGAACTAGATTGCTGTCCAAAAAATAGCCCAAAAGAATAAATTATCAATAACCCCAAATCGTAGCCTAAATTAAAACAACCCAATTAACCTACCAAGAAACTACTGACACATCCAAGGTATTTACCAGAAGATGCTGACTGTTCCAAATAGGAATTGCTGACAAACCACAGACCCTCCATCATATCATTCTGAGCCGTCACTACCTTTTTCACCCCAACAACCACCACCAGCCGTTGTTGCAACCTTAGAATCTGTCATCTACCAGGCTGTTGCTAAGTTCTTTGAATCTAAGCCCATCTCAGACTCGTTGCAAGATACCCAAATCAGACAAACTAAAGTCTTATAAATCAAAACTGCATTGTCAGATTAAACAGGACCAATAATAATCCATATTCTAGTGGTGATGTCAAGTAAGGAAGGCTATGGATATTCTTTGGTTGCTGGGGTTCATTCATCGATGTGATTTCAATTTTGAAAACAAGATATCTTAGAGGAAGAGCCGGGTGTATGTGTTGAAGGGGCATACCAAGAAAAGAAAATCGAAATTTCATTGTAAAACCTAATACCAAAAAATAGAAAGCTGAAAGGAATAAACAAAATTGCAAGCGGGACGAACCGGACGAGTAGCCCAAGGCCGCTCGACGGAAGCGAAATTAAAAGGTTGATTTCTTTATGATCTAAACTGCTCTGATACCATGTTAAAATATTATAAATTGCATATATTAAACTCTTGTGTATTACAAAGTAGAATACCCTATTTATAGGATTATAAATAATTGTAAAAGGAATTAACGTGAAAGGAAAGATTGTGTAATAATTACACAATCAATTATCAAAGAAAATAATCATACACTAAAAGGAGAAATATAATAGATGTTATTCTCAACAATATTTTCTATATTTTTAACACAAATGACAGGAGTGAGGTTATCTCACGCCTTGTTGGCAGCCGTAGTGTGGGGGTTCGATTCTCGTGACATGGAATTGGACTCCTTGTAGGCGTAGTGTACATGTAGCTCTTATTCTTTGACCTGCTGTAACACATCCCACGATTTTCCTCCCTCACAAAACTCTAGGGACGGAGCGATGGGAGCCCTTAAGATTGGGGTTCAACATTTATTTTTTTTATATCATAAAACAATCAATTTTCACTCTCAAGTCAAGAAGCGGGGTTATGGTGACGGGAAGTGTAAAGATTTAATTGCTGATAGTCAATTTGTACAGTGACTTATTATTCTTGTTCAATAAAGTATATTATGACTTTATGTTATCTTTCAATTTCTTTGGATTTTTATTAAAAATGATCGACTAAACAACGATAAATATAAGAAATTAAATTAGTGCCATGAAGTCTTTCTAGTTATCTAGAAATATGTAGTGACATTAATGATTATGCACGAAATAAATTTTTGGGATAATTGCAACAGAAGCCTCAAACCTTTCAAACATTAGCAGACTTTCTCCAAACCTTTAATTTGTTGCAACCGTCACCCCAAACCTTTTGAAACGTTGCAACAGAGGCCCTTTTAGACGGAAAACATCTAATTATTGTTAATTGACTAAATAATTGAGTTTGACCACATTATTAATATTTTTTATAAAGGGCAAAATAGTAACTTTTTATTTACTAAATTAAAATGAGTTAAAAATTAAATTAGAAAAAGCAAAAAAGAAAAAGAAAAAAAAAGTTGTAAATCTTCATCTTCCCCAAGGCCACCGGCCACCATCCCCGACCACAGCAACGACCAGATCTCTCTCTCCTCTCTTTTTCCTCCCTTTCTCAGCTACAAACCAGCCGGAGGGAAAATGGAGTTTGTAGCTGAGATCTGAGGCTAATTTTTTGCCTCCATCGGTTGACTTCGATGATATTGCAAACACTATCATGTCGTTTTTTCCAATGAGCGGTTCAACTGAGGCAAGCTCCTCAACTATGCATTATCAGAGTGTCCCAACCTTGGATTTGCTATCAAGAACCAGTAGTCATAGCCAAGATCTAAAGCTCTCTTCACAGTCTTTTCAAGATCCAATTATGCTCCACCACCACCAAAACGAACAGCCTCACTGGTATCATATCCCCAGCCACCACACTGAACAAGCCCATATTCAAGCACAAGCACTAGTCCTCCACTTCCACTAGGGCTTGATGACAACATCGGCTAATCTAAGCACTATTAGTAGCCCAATTTGAATACCAATGGTAATGCCTCCAGCGGGAGTGGCGGAGAAGCAGGATTCTTAATCAATTTGTCGCCAGCTGCCCAGCTATTTGGCCAAAACCAGTGTTTTTTCTCAGAGGAGGCCCCTACAGTCCAGTAATTCACCATCCCTGATTTTGGTTAGGGTGGGTTTGGGTAGGTTGGGGAAGGGATGGGAGGAAGGAGAAGATAAAGGTTTTCCCTTTTTTTTTTTTGTACTTTTTTTGTGGATATTTTTAATTTAATTAATGTAATTATTTAATTTGGTAAATAAAAAGTTACTATTTTGCCATTTATAAAAATAATAACAATGTGGTCAAACTCAATTTTTTGGTCAGCTAACGGTAAATTGGATGTTTTCTGTCCAAAAGGGTATCCGCTGCAACGTTTCAAAAGGTCTGGAGTGACGGTTGCAACAAATTAAAGATTTGGAAAAAGTCTGCTAATATTTGAAAGGTTTGGGACTTCTGCTGCAATTATCCCTAAATTTTTTAAATAGATGTCCTACTTAAAACCACTTTCTTGAATCTTCATAAGTTAACATTACAATACATAGAATTGAGAGCGTATTAAAGAATTTGGCAAAGATCCCATGATTGACAAATTCCACCCATAAGCCAAGCCATCAGCCGAGCAACCACCACCTATCCACCACTAGCACCATCACTCATCCCATTCAATTTTGTGGTGGTGGTGGTGTGTGACTCAGTAGGTGGTAGAAGTGGTTTACGTATGGTGCAGATGGTGGTGTGGTATAGATTCGGGGCAGATGGTAATATAGCTTTGATCTATGGTTATCAATTCAGCCAATACAATCTAGCTAACACTCGATAACCCATCAAAGCACAAGGACATTGGCAACTCAAAAGTTTGTCGCTAAAAATTTTAGAAATCGAATACTAATAGGCAGAGGTGTAAAATGGACTCAAATCAACATATCAGTTGCTCGTGTTGCGTACAAGGACTAAGTGCAGTACCTGGAATACTAAACAATACTTGTCCCTTTAAGTTCGGATCAAAATAGGCTGACTAGATCTAATAAGTAATAACACAAGGTAAATAAGTAGGATTAAGCCAAACGACCATATTGTTTGACACATCACTCACAGTCGAGGTGTGGGTCCCGCGCAAATAATATAATGCCGACCTTCCATGTGAGTGTGTTGTGTTAACCAATGTGTCAAACACTGTGGTAGTGTAGTATGGTCAAAATAAGTAATTATTCCAAACGAGCTAGTCTTAAGACCTGAGCGAATCAATTACCTGAACTCAGTAATACATGAAGGACATAAATTTAAAAACATATCAAATTCCATGGGGAAAAAATCAATGAAAGAGTCGAAACATCACAAAAAGAACGACTACATCGACTACATCCAAATAAAGAATTTTCGCTTGCTTAATTCAGAGTCTCTGTGTCATGGGGATGAAGAAGCGCCCAACCAGCAGAATAGCTAGTAATAGACTAATTAGCACTATAGCTCGGGTTTTACCTGTTTGTCTCTTCAGCAGTTCCTGTCCAATGAAAATAAAGAAAACAAAATGAAAATGTGCTCATCTTGTAAAATATGAAACAGGTTTAGAAAGTCTGTGAACAGATTGGTTTTGGTGTCGTAATTGACAGAAATACTTAACTGTCCTTCATGTTTCAGAGTAAAAAAAGGTATTCTGAAATCTCAGATAATTGAGAACCAATGCCCAAAAATAGCATTGTGGGATAGTAGTTCCCCAAATAACATTAAGAGGCTCATAAAATAGATCCAACCCTAATTTCATAACAAGTCAAAAAGACAGTGAAAGTTATTTCATGTTTCATTTAGTATAACGCACCAAGATGAGAAAGTGAGAGATCAAATGAAAAGATACTCTCTCATTGTCGCCTGAAATGTCTCAGAAGGCTGCCTAAGATATCTCATGTAAGAAAAGAAAATTTTCAAAATCCAATTAAATAAGTGAAAAGGGAATTCTTAGAGAATCATAGTATACTAGCAAAAACTAAAGCTCAGTTTACTAGTCAGAGAATTTTTCACTTGCCTTTTCTTCTTGTACTTCACATTGTTCTTCACTTTCACTTTCTTCTTGTTCTTCACTTTGTTCTTCACGTCCACTTTCTTCTTGTTCTTCACTTCCCAAGTCTGAGATTATGACTTTAAGATCTTCATTTCCCATGTCATGTTGTTCTTCCAGACTTTGCTTAGCAGATTCTTTGACAGCTTTTGCACGCCCACATACTTCAATCATCTGTAATGTCGGAATATGACCTAAACTGGAAGGGATCATCTTCAAACGCTCGCAATTTCGCAATACCAGTTGTTGAAGTCTTGGGAAATTATCACTTGAGGCTTTCCATTTTGCAAGGTTTACATTAAAGAGTTTCAGGAATTTAAGTTGTGAGAATTCAACTTCACTTGTGTCCCAATGTCTTCCCTAAAAGGAAACATCTAAAAATTTGAGAACCTCAAGATTCAGCAACCCCTCAATTATCTCCATTTCTTTAGAAGACATGCGTACTTTAACTAGAGTCAATTGTTTGAGATATAAGGGCACACTGATCAAAATGGAAGATGAATGTCCCACCTTAATAAGCTTCAGTGATTCAAGCTGATTAACGAAGTCAGAAGAATAATCAAGTGAAGATTCGAACCAGATTGTCAGTCTGCGAAGATTATGCAAGCATCTCAGAATTTTCTCATCCGTTTCATCATGAATTGTAAGTGCAGAAACATTTTGTAGGTTACTATTTATTTGAAACCGATCATCCTTAGTTGCTTGCTGGCGGCAAGATTCACTGAAGTATGTGCCGCTCCTGAAATTTATACTTCTCAAACTCACCATATTAAGAAGGACATCAGGTAGTTCAACTGAATATACAGTGTCCACATCAAGAAATTTTAATTTGTGGAAACTTTCCAGTGGTGGCAATAATACAGTTTGAAATTTTAAGTACCTCAAGTGAACCAGACGTTCAATTCCTACCACACATTCACAGCTTCCCTGAAAATCTAATACCCTCAGAACTTTGATGCCGCATAAATTAAATGGTTGCCTCTCACTATAAAAATATAGAGGGCGTACGTGTAGGCCAGAAGCTAGTGAGTTCATAGGAGGTGACATGTTGTCGAGTATCAGACATCTGTGTTGACTGAAGAATGGCGCTCGATCAGGACAATTACTGTTAATAAAATAAACACATCATTAATATGATCATCAAGAATTGTAACAATTATTATTAGGCTGCAACTAAAATGGACGAGAACGAAAGTGCTGAAAGAGAGAGAGAGAGAAAAATGAGAAACAATGAACTTACGATGTGACCACCTTCAAAAAGTATTTTTCACCTGCTATTCTCAAGCACATTTCACGTAATAGATCATGAATTTTTAAGTTTTGACCTGCCCATCAGATCTTCGTTGGGCGACAATTACCAAGCTCCTGTCAATTAGTTCCATAAGATATTTTAGTGCCACGTCTTCTATACGCTCATGCTCTTCCTTCTTTACATGCCCTTCTGCAATCCATAGTGATATCAACTTCCGTACTGGGAAAAGCTCCAAAGTAAAGAAAACATGATTTTAAATGCATTGGTAAATGTTTGTAGCTAAGTTCCAATATTTGAATGCAGTTGTCTGAGTTTTCAGATATATGTGAAGTTAAATTTCTTGTTACTTTGCGCCACAAGTGTTCTTTCTTCTCCATATTTGCGAGCACTCCAGCTATCGCGACCACTTGAAGTGGTAGGCCATGACAATTTCTTGCAATTTGCTTCCCAATGTCTAGCAATTCTTGAGGGCAATCATCTTTTTGGAACAGTTTCCTTTGTAATAATTCCCAGCATTCATCTTTTGACAAAAAAAGGAAGTTCTTTCATGATACTAGCTGAAGCTTTCAAACCAACTTCTTTATTTCGAGTGGTGAATAATATTCTACTTCTGACTTGTTCACATGGAAAATATCTTTTCAATTGATTCCATGCATTCGTATCCCATGTGTTATCTATCACAACAAGGTATCTCCTTCTCATTAAAATTTTGTGAAGTTTTTTAGCTAAATCTTTAATCTCCATATTCATAATTGTTTCTCTTTTGAGGTGACCTATTGACATCAAAATTTCAATCAACATATTTCTCTTCTTAAATGTTTGAGAAGCAACACACCAGGCGCGAACATCAAAATAAGGGCCAACAGTGGGATGATTATATAGTTTCTTTGCTAAAGTCGTCTTACCAAGACCAGGCATTCCAAAGATGGAAATAATTTGTAGTTGCTTCTTTCCTCTAACAAGTTTTTCTGCGATTTCGTTTCCCACTTTCTCAAACCCCACAACGTTGTCTTCCAAGATAGGAGGTCCTTTAGGTTGTGACGATACTTGTTGACCTCCATACTTTGTAACTTCTGGCATTTCGGCTGCATCAATTTTGTTCTTAATTTCTTGGATGGCCATCCCAATAAGTTGAATTTTCTCTATGAGTTGAGGGAGCCTAAAGGTGAGATACCAAACAGGAGGGAATGAGTTGATAACATATTCAACTTCAAAGGCTATGTCTCTGGTTCGTATCACAAGTTATTCATGTTCTACTTCATGTTGCACTGCTATATCTATTACAGCATACTAACAATCAAGCAAATAAAATCAGCAGCAATCTAGCAAATAAAATCACAGAATTCAAGCCAATGTTTTCCATTTACTGATTATTTCCATCACAAATTTTATTTACCATGTAGAGCTTGAACTTTTACCTATAAAATGTACACACAACCATTGTAAAATGCATGAAGGAAAAAATAAAAACAGTTTTTACCTTCTTCCTGCATGTATTGAATTTTATCATGGTATTAGAACAGTCCTTTCACTACGACCTCTTCTAAATTCTTTCTAGCTTCCGCAAACATCAAAACAGGCAATCACCATGTTTTATTCCACATAATCCACCCCCTCAAAACTAATAAATGATCTCACATTCTCATACTTCTTAACCCCCGTCGACAACCTGGTGCCGTACTGATACGAGATCTTCTTACTGGAGAAAACTATGCCTCCTGGAAATGCTCGATGCCTATGGCCCTCAATGCTAAAAATAAACTTGCCTTCGTTGATGGAACTCTAAAGAAACCATAGGACATCGAAATTGCCATCCTCTGGGACCTTTGTAGCGATATGATTCTATCGTGGCTCTTAAACTTTATTGACAAACCTCTTCAACAAAGCTTGATTTACTGTACCCAACTACCTGATGTTTGGATCGATTTGGACAATCATTTCTCTCAAAGTAATCACCCTGCCTTTATAGTCTCCATCGTCACCTAGTGAATCTCAAACAAAGCAATATGTTTGTTACCACATACTACAACACTATCAAAGGGTTATGGAATGAACTCACTGCCTTGACCAAACCCAATCCCTGCAACTGTGATGCTCGTAAAAGGGTCGAAGGAATAGCCAATATTGAACGATTGTTCCAATTTTTTTTCATGGGCCTCAATGATTCATTCTCCAATATCCGAAGCTAAATTATTGCTATGGAGCCTCTTCCCACAATCTCCAAAGCTTATGCCACCATACACCAAGAAGAAACACAACGCCTCTTACAAATCCCTTTGCTACCCAATCCCGAAACTACCGCCATGGCTGTCGCACGCATACATCCTCCGACCACTCATGGGTCTCATTCTTGTAATGGCAAGAAATGCATCAAATGTGGAAGGGACAGCCATTTAGAGTCCTCTTGCTTCAAAATCATTGGTTATCCTCATCATTGGAACACAAATAAGCTGAAGCATCCCCTGCAACCAGCTCCAACTAGAAATTGACCACATGATTCGAGTGGTAATCGGCCACCCACAGTGAACATGGTGTCCAGTACTTCAACTCATTCCACATCATGTGTAATCCCTAGTCTATCTAATGAGCACTACCAACAATTGATGGAATTTTTGCAACCCACCACCAATGCCTTCCCTGGTATCTCTTCCCTTTCATAGATCATCGATAGTGGGGCTTTAGCCCACACTGCTTGTATTTCTAATTTACCCAAAGCCACACATATTTGGGCCCATAACCAATCTCTTACATTGCCCACAAGTTCTATGGCTCAAATCAAGCATACAAGTCACATTTATATTTCTCCTCAATTATGCCTTTATAATGTCCTTTTCATTCCTGATTTTAACAATAATTTAATTTCAATTAGTCAACTCACTAAATCATCTAATCGTGTTATCATATTTTTTTCCTTTTATTTGTTTATTTAAGGACCAACACATGAGGAAGTTGATTGGGATGGGTGAAGAATGTGGAGGCCTCTACCTTTTTAAACTAATTGATCAAGTTGCACTTCAAATCACATCAACCTTACTCCATACCGAACCTATGCCATCTTCGTTTAGGTCATCCTTCAAATTCTTGCATTCTAAAAGTTCTATGTGATTCAAATAAAATTAGAAATTGTGACAGTTGTGTTCGAGGCAAACATACATGCCTCCGTTTCAAACTGGTCAAAAATAAAAGTACTTTATCTTTAATTGGATTTATCGTGATATTTCGGGTGGATATTCCACACCCTCTACAACTGGTGCACATTATTTTCTTACAATTATTGATGATTTTTTGCATGTTACTCAGGTGTAACTCATGCGTTTTAAATATGATGCATTTACTTGTCTGACCACATTCATTAAAATGATCCACACACAATTTAATTGTCCTATCAAACAATTGAATTCTATCTCATCGTATGTAACAATTGTCCTTGACCATGGCATCATTCTTGAACGCACTTGTGTTAAAACACCCCAGCAAAATGGTATAGCTGAACGAAAGCATTGTCGCCTATTAAATGTAGCTCGATGCCTTCACTTTCATGCACATTTACCAATTTCCTTCTGGGGTAAATGCATATTTACTGCTGCTTATTTAATTAATCGCTTACCAACCCCCTCTCTTAATGGCAAAACTCCTTATGACCTTCTTTTCAACAAGCCTCCCAAGTATGATCATCTTCGTGTCTTTGGATGTCTTTTCTATGCACACACTTTAAGTATTCATCGGGACAAGTTCTCATCTTGTAGCACACTATGCATATTTTTAGGCTACTCTCAAACTGCACACACCTATCGTTTTTATGACTTGTAATCCAAGAAGATATCCATGTCTCGTAATGTCCACTTTGGAGAATCTATCTTTCCATTTGCTACTATCATGCAGCCCTCAGATGCCTCATTACAAAACGCCTTGCCAGACACCACACAGTCCCTCCATATAACTCTTACATTCAGCCCATGATACACATGAGACTCAAGCAAATGATGATGGACCATCTCCCCAAGCACCACCCCCACCAAACATTGAACCATCTATTCTGAATGATGATGGGCCTACCAACTTCCCAGAACTCATCCCCATTCTACTTCTATCCCTTAGACCTCAACACACAGTCACTCGCCCCATATATCTTCATGATTACATTGCTCAGATCTACATCCAAAAGGACCATGTTCATCATCTCATACCCAATCTTTCTTAGTTATGGTTTACTCTTTACCTAATTTTCTTTCTTATCATTTTTTTAGTCCAAAACATTTTGCTTTCCTCTCTTTTATCTCCAAAAATGTTCAAGACCCTGTCTTTTACTCTCAAGCTATCATTGAGCCTCATGGGAAAAGGCCATGGCTTCTGAGATTCAAGCCCTTGAAGCCAATCACACATGGGTCCTTGAACATCTTTTCCCTGATAAGGAAGCCATTGGTTGCAATTGGGTTTATAGAATAAAATTGCGTGCAGATGGTTCCATTGAACGTCATAAAGCTCATTTAGTTGCCAAGGATTTCACTCAGGTAGAAGGTCTTGATTATACTGACAGTTTTGCTTATGTGGCTAAACTTGTTAATGTTCGTTGTCTTCTTGCTATAGCTATAGCTAAACAATGGATTATTCAACAATTAGATGTTCACAATTCTTTCCTTCACGGTGATCTTGATGAGGAAGTATACATGCTACCCCACTAGGATATTGTCGTCAAGGGGAGACATGATTATGCCGTCTCCACAAATCCTTATATGGTCTCAAACAAGGGTATTCGAAATTATCTCATGTTCTCATCTTTGTAGGTTTTAGTCAATCTGCAGTTAATCATAGTCTTTTCATCAAGACCGAGGGTACAACATTTATTGACATTCTTGCCTATGTTGATGATATTCTAGTTGCCAATAATGACATCTCTGTCGTCAATTCTATCAAATGACATCTTGCACAGACCTTTAAAATCAAAGACCTTGGTGATCTCAAGTATTACCTAGCGATTGAAATTGTTCGATCTCCTAAAGGCATCTTTATCAATCAGAGGATATATACTTTGAACATTCTTTCTGATTCTGGTCAACTCGACTCTTCCCCGACTTATTTTCCCATAGAACAACAATGCAAACTTAATGACTCGGATCGTGATCTTCTAGATGATCCTAGCTTATATCGACTGTTGATTAGTCGTTTGATCTATTTAACTATCTCTCGTCCTGACATAACCTTTGCTGTCGACATTCTGAGTCAATTCATGCACACTCCTCGCCAGCCTCATCTTCATGTTGCTCATCACCTGCTCCGCTATATGAAGACTACTCCTGGTTGTGGCCTCATCTTCTTATATAATTGTAGCTTTTAGATATCTGCCTTCAATGACTCTAATTGGGCAAGTCGTCCACTCACACGACGTTCCACAACTGGTTTCATTATCAAATTGGGTAATAGCCTCATCTCTTGGTGTACTAAGAAACAAACTACTGTCTCTTGATCTTCTGCTAAAGCTGAATATCGTGCAATGGCCACTACAACTTGTGAACTTATTTGGCTTCATGTCCTTCTACAGGAAATCACTATGCCCCATCCGCAACCTATTCTACTTCACTATAACAACCAAGCTACCACCCACATTGCTCGTAATTCGATTTTTCATGAATGAACAAAACACATTGAATTAGATTGTCATCTTGTTCGAGAGAAAATCAAATTCGGTCTTCTTACTACCTCATATGTTTCAATCTCTCAATAAGAAGCTGATTTTTTTAATATATCGTTGGTACGTGAATTATTTGTTTTCTTTCGATTCAAGTTGGGCATTACGGATCTTCAAGCTCCAACTTGAGTGGGAGTATTACAGTATACCAGCAATCACAGAAATCAAGCAAATAAAATTAGCAGCAATCAAGCAAATAAAATCACAAAAATCAAGCCCATATTTTCCATTTATAGATTATTTCCATCACAAATTTCATTTACCATGTACAGCTTGAACTTTTACCTATAAATGGACACACAACCATTTCAAAATGTATGAAGGGGAAAATAAAAAATGTTTTTACCTCCTTCCAGCATGTATTGAATTTTATCAATATCTGTGATGGATGATCCCAATAACATTAGCTTCTCATGGAGCATCGCAATATGATTATTCACAAAAACATTCTTGGCAGACTTGTTATTTATGAAGACCATGAAAGCATCAAGAACAGAATCAACAATGAAGAGTGAAGCTGTTGGGAATTTATTTAAACATGCACAGCGGAATTTAACAAATTTCAATTTTCACTCAGGATTCAGCTTTATATTTAGATAAAAACTGTGATAAGAAATATACTTTTTCTTTAATTTGGAAACTCCTTCGCGTTATTCCTTTCCAGCAGCTTGAATCTATCTCCCACAGCTGTCCAATTGTCCAGCCTCCAATGAAATCTACACAGAGAATAGACTGCAACTGCTAGGGTTTTCTCTCTTGTGCCAGCAAGAATAATGAAAACCTTATGGACCTTAAACCCTAGTCATATATTTATATAAACCCAAACGGGCTCAACCCGGTCCGGACCATTGTTTAATTAATCCATTTAATTAAATCCGGTCCGTGAATTAATCGATCCAATTAATTAATTCGAGAATATAAATAATAAATCCAATTAATTAATTTATCTAACGATTGTTAAATTAATCAATTGGGAATTTGCAACCTATCAATTCTCTTTTGTGTACGACCCATTAAATTCTCGATAACGATGCCTAACGACGTGAAATATTATTTTGATCTAATCAAAACTGATAAATTAAACACTCTTTTAATTTATCACAGATTCACACTCGTCGTCCCAGATTGACATCTAGCAATGTATCAGGGCAACACATGTGACGGGAAATATCACGTGGTATAACAAAACCAAAACTGTTCGTTTACCATAAAATTATAATCCCTTCGTCAATATGATCCGATCAACTACAAGATATGAAAGTGTGTCAATCTCGATTATCGATCATATCTTTCATTCTTCTATTTAGTCAATATAAGTCGAAAACTCCTTTTCGACTTATATGTACACCTTAGCCAAGGATTTCGTTATTGACTTAATTGAACGAAATGCAGCTCACAATCTCTTACTATCTTAGAGTGACGAATCCTCTATTGATCATTCACAACCTTCATATGGTTCTTGACATACCCGAACGATGTCGTATTAGCAGCCCTTGACAGAGCAACATCCAACACCGTCAAAATATGACTGTCCTCATATAAGGTACTATGATGACCTCAAGTTGTAGGACCAATTTCATTACCAAACGTTAGAAATTAATCACTGACACTCAGATAGTTATCCATGTGGAATCTCTTAGTGGGTCTCCAATGTTTTGTTCTATAACAAAACATCCACGTGTTCATTTAAGTGTCACCACACTTTAGTTCGTGAGATCAGCTACTTACTTCACAAGTAAGAAATGTCACATGTGATGGTCTAACTGTATTAACGATATCCGTATCTCGTTATTACTTACGACCACGGTTTATTCAAAATCCAATTATATGTAATTTGTATCTTACAATCACAACTCCTTGTGATTAACAAATCACTTAAACTTGGATCTTCGGATTCTATTATTTAATATTATTTATCATGAAATTAATTTAAATAAATAATAGATCTTGCCAAAATTAAATGTATTAAACATATTAAAAGCGTTTACAACCTAAATTGATTGGATCTAGGGCATAACACTTACAGAAACCACGGCAATCTTTGGAG